ACAATTGTGTATAATAATTAAGTATTTAGTAACATATAGACACGTATGTACATTGCGATACCCATGTTGTCACATAAGTATGTGCACATTGAGTTACTAACTAATCAAAGTTCAGGTGAGACATACTGACAAATCATTTGCATAAGTTTCTCTGCATATTTCGTCATCCTTCCATCAACGGTGAACTTTGGATTTTAATCATGCCGTACGTATGTACATACGTATATACGCATGTAGATAAATAAATAGAAGAGTGTGTTGCCCGACAGATTTACCAGCCTTATATTACAAATCGATTAAAAAATCTTGTAGAAACCTGTCAAAAAACGTCTCGTTGACTTATAATGAATTATCTGCATCAATCAGTGCAAAATTGTACCTGGAATTTATTAGTTTCTAATCCATACTGGACGTATGATTCCTAGAAAATTTTATGGTTGGCTAGTTAAGTCGTCCGGGGTTTTCCGTTACATATAGTAATTAAATATGCAGATGACGTAAGTATTTATGAACATATTTACATTCATAAATCCGTGAATATATTATTATAATTGAACCACTTAATGAAAGAAATGGTGACAGGTATTTTATAAAAAGATTAATTATGTACAGGATGCTGTAAATCATGTCAAAGCAAGATAAAAAACGTATGTTGAAATGAGCCATGAACGTGAGTGCTGAGGGTGAGCGGAGTGCATGTGAACGATTTTGTACCACATTTTGTTATCCGTGGTAAAGCGCGACGATACTTCTAACTTATAAATAAATATATGCTTCTCATAATGAATAAACATTTGTATAAAGAAATATGCATGTAGAAAAATCCTGTAGAAAAAGGATGATTTTTTATACTCACTCAAAAGAGCATGAACACTTTGGTTTGTTAAGTATTAATTGACGACTGGTCAAAATACTTAAGTTTTTGCCAAGACTATGCAACGTTAGTTCCAAATTTATTGTTGTGTTAAATTCTGGAGAATCTCCACTCAAAACTTTGTTCAACCTATAGAATCTCAGTAAGTTGTCTTACATATACCCTTCGAGTATGTATTGTAACTCTAATTAATTTATTTGCAACGTTTCAACCATATGCCTATTAGGTTATAAATTATAATTAAGTAATAAAACTCATTTTATAAAAATGTCAGTAACATTTGCCGCATCGTTTGTTATAATAATTGATTTATTGCATTATAGCCAACAGCCTTTGCACATCATAAATGGTTACATAATATTGATAATCGTAAAATTGTAAAAATAAAATTAATTATTGGTCAGAGCATAGGTCAAAATATTTGGCGACTTTATGCCAAAAAAGAAATAAGTTATTCAGTATTTTATCACTACATGTCGCAGAAAAAATAGCAATATACAGTTGCATATTAGTAGATTCAATTGGATTAAATTGAGGAATTAATGGATAAATTAGAGATTGTCGTTCAGATTTTAAAGAAGTACAGGTAAACATAAGGTGTTCAACAGAGCAAGTGTCACTACAAAAGGGACAATTGGAACTTAAAGGAATGTAGGACTGCCCAATTTTAATGCTAAATTTATTTAGACGCAATTGGGTCATCAAACTGCATTTTTGGATGGAGTGGTTCATGTTAAAATATTCTTCTGATGTAGTTTTCGGTTTGATAAACTTGTAGTGCGGAATGAAGCTGGAGTTTTGCATCCTCGAGACATCCTGATTCTTAAGGTGGAGCTCATAGTTGATCAGAAGGGTTTTACGCATGGTCACAAGAGAAGTCAAAGTTGATGGGAGGTTTTCACATTTTGCGCTTTTAAGCAGATTAAGGAAATCTTCGCCCCAGCAATGGTTCTTTTGCATTGTTGTCGAATTGAGTCGGGTCCACTTCATTTGTGTAATCATACATTGCCTTGCGGGGGAATTTTCTTTTTTTCTAAATATACGTTCCCAGAGACCCAATGTGTCAGCGAGATGTTATATTCTTGTGTCCCGTGCACCGGTTTCCAATCGCACAAAGTAATCAGGAGTAGATGGAGGAATTCTGAGTAGTTTCTTCAGGAAACGGATTTGTAGTTTATCGATATCGTCCACGAATTTCACTGCCCATATGGATGAGCCATAGAGAAGAGTAGCCCGTGCAATGAAGTTAAATAGTTTGAATTGCGTAGATAAGGGTGGAACACCAGATCTTCTTGTAATATTGAGGACTTTCATCACTGCAGCAGTCGCTTTCTCTTTAAATTCCTTCTGAGCTCGATTGAAAGTCCCATTTCTGTGCATTGTCACTCCTAGGTAGGTGTAAGAGTCCACAATCTCAACAGTATCATCGTTCCATTTGAAACGTAGGAGGTCACTGGATCTTCTCTTGGCGAAGATAACAACTTTCGTTTTCGAGATGTTGCACTGTAAACCACGGTCTTTAAAGAATTTTACAGCAACATTGATTTTTCCCTGAACAGAATCAGCAGAGTTAGCAACGATAACAACATCATCAGCAAACATTAGTATGTGGAAGTCGGTTGATCCAATTTTGACTGACGAGATGCCACTTCTTTGCAGTCGGCGTGCCAGGCCATCTATGAAGAAGTTGAAGAGGCATGATGATTGCGGTTCTCCTTGTAATACTCCTTTTTGAAATCGAAAAGATGATGTGAGCCCATTTGGGGTAAGAATTTGTCCCCTGGCTTTACTGTAGAGTGATGTCAGAACTTTCAAGTATTTAGAACTTACTCCTCGCTTGCTCAGAACTTTCCACATTCTATCATGAAGGCAGGAATCAAATGCCATTTTTGCGTCGATGAAAATGGCGAATAACTTCCCACTTGGATGCCGAAGTTTAGATTGGATAAGGGTTAAGAGCCAGAATATTTGTTCTAGAGTTTCCATCTTTTTCCTGAACCCAGCTTGGAATGGCGAGAAGTGTCCATATTTTTCTGCCCAACTCTGAAGGCGGTTTGAGAGGATTGTGGTAAAGATTTTTAGGATTGTAGTAGCCAGTGCAATGGGACGATAGTTGGACGGAAGTTGTGGGTCACCTTTCTTGAATATTGGACGAAGCATTATAAGCGTCCAGTCATCAGGGACAACTCCAGTCCTATATATATCGTTGAATTTTGTTGCAAGTTGGTTTATTGCCACAGGTGTCAATGCTTTCCATACTTCGTTTGGGATGCCGTCTGTTCCTGCTGCCTTTTTTAACTTCAGTTTTTTAACAATGAGAGAGACCTCAAATGTAGATATTTCGTGGTCGAGTTCTTGAACTTCCTTTCAAGGCGACAGCTGTTATTCTGAAATAATTTTGAGTAGAACGAATGCCATTTTTCTGCTTCAATTGGATGAATGACCGGAGAATATTGTTTAAATTCACGAACAGATGCCCAAAATGTTGAGTTTTTGTGATTGAGTAAATTTTGGATATGTTGTTGCTTAATTGTCTGCTTTTTCTCCCGCTTTAACTTGGTGTATGCTGCGCGTAGAGATTGGTATTGTTCTTGATTTTCCTGCTTGTTTGATTTCCTTGCCACTCTTAGCATTCTGCTCCCTGAGGATTTGGTTTGTTTACATTCGTCATCAAACCATTTCGGTTTTGGGCGGTATATTGAGGGTAGTTGAATGCTCTGAGTCATTCCGACGAAGTCAAGAGTATTTTTCACATTAGACAAGATATCATTGCTAACATTACACTTTTCATTTAGCGTCTTCCTAAATTCTGCGCGCTTTTCGGGATTCCATTTGGTCTTATTCATGACAGTAGTTTCAATCCCTTCGTTACTGGTTGACTTTGATGACTGGATTTGGGTGAAAAGGTTGATGTTAATTGGTTGGTGTGTTGAGACAATTGATTGATTAATACGGAAGTGATTAATGTGTTCGAGTATTGAGTCCGATGAAATGCAGAGATCAATCGTGCTACGGCCGTTCGTATTTTGAAAAGTGATACCCCCCCTCAGGTCCCCTTTCCCATATCCGTTAAGTACTACAAGATTCGCAGATCTGGTGGCTGTCATTAGTTGTTTCCCACGGTCTTTCATTTGTAGGTCTTGTGATTGTCTGGGATAGTATTCACCTTCAATGAGATTGGGAAGTTGACCGATCCGCGCATTAAGGTCGCCAATAATTAGTGTATTCTTGGTAATATTCACAATTGTTTCAAGAAGGTCGCTAAATTCGGTTTCTCCATGAAGGTTAGGCGCGAGGTAAGATCCGATGAGTGTAAGTGCCTCACCATGTATCACGTTATTTACAGTAATTTCAATCCAGCCAGTTTAGTTATAACAGCATATTGTAGATTATTCTGAATTCCAATAATGATTCCTCCTTTTTTTCTTCCTCTCTTCGAATTTTCCGCGTCTTGACACACTAGTGTGTGCGTAGTTTTAAAGTTCGAGAGCTTAGCACATGCTTCCTTTTCGGTGCACCAAGTCTCGAGAAAAATAAAAATATCCGGGGCTTCCTTCGTCATATATTCAAAAAAATCATGATCCTTATTAATTAGTCCGTCGATATTCCACGCAGTAATGTTCATTGTCAAGGATTTTGTTGGCGTAGTTGTGCGAAAGGCGGGCTGTGTTCTCATTGGTGTTGGGTGGGTTGGGTTTTGTTGTTGACACTTTTGCGTTTTTCAACAATTCCCGTCGCTTTGTTGTAATCGTACCAATCCTTACCATCTACCAGCAGAGATTTCGCATACACCTTTACAGTTGATGCCACTCGATTGTCAAGTAGTTCCCGTCGTTGCCGTAGAAGTATATTTTTGGTTTCTCTTGCCGCATCGTTTGTTAATTATGAACAAAACATATGCAGCAGTGTTGGCCTCGCACATGCAAAATCAAATCGTACAAATTACTCGGTTCACCTTCAGCATGTGTACATCCCGGCACGTTTCTAAAAGCTTTATTATCTTAATTTTGGCATGATTTGAACCACTATCTACAATTAGTCGCCTTGTAACCTGTCATCATCAAGTGTTTCAATTAAATATTTAAGCAACTAATTCGATCATGCAAGGCTCACTTGGTTCCGCAAATCTGTAACACACCTGTTCCACATACGCCCCTCGTCGTAAACCTTTCCCAGATATAAGATGAGAAATTTCGGGAATTGCTTCACTAAATTATTTCTAATTTATCTTGTCACTCAATGTTCATCAGAAGCTGCACAGATTACGGAGGACTATGGTAAATAATAATACGTAACATTATTCAATTATAATTAAATTACTCAGAATTACTTTTAATCAAAAATATCTACTTCATAGAGTTTTTCGAGTTGGGGTCCCTCAAATTGAGCAACTCTTCAGGCGCCCTTGAAACCAAGTACTACATCACCTTGGGCACCTTCTTCCTTGGAGTAAGTATCTAATTTTAAATTGGTGGAAAGTTACGATTCTTAAGATGAGTCTTGTATTAAATTTGCATTTATATTTTTAGCTACGTTGGGACGAAGCGGTCACAGCTTGTCTAACAATTAACGGTAGTTTGGTATCGATTGAAACTGAATTTGAAAAGGATGGGCTGGACAACCTTCTAGAAAATTTTGTGTATAACTCGTCCTCAAAATATGGTAACTAATGTTTACATTTTATATATGTCTTGGTCACTGGTGTTAATAATTTTTTAATTAATATGTAGGTGTCGATTACTGGACGTCTGGGAAGTACGATCTGGCTTCGTCCACATATCGGTGGACCTCAAACCGGACCCCATTCCCTCAATGGGCCCCATGGGGTCCTAGCGAACCTTTTCCCATCAGCGTGGATAATCCGGTTGGGTTAAGGTTCGAAAGCAGGAAAGTTGCTACTTGGCGGATACCCACGTTCAGAAATAAATTTATTTGCGAGGTACATACATAGATATCAATTTTACACACTTTTATGAATAAGTAAATTTCAAATTTCGGAAAAAATACTTCGAACGTTTTCAAGCCTGATTGTCTTTGACCCCCAAATCAATTTTGCATCTTCCGCCTTTTCTAGGAGCTAATTTAAAATATGTAACTTTAATCTCAGGTTTCCCCACCCGATATGGTCGTCCCATGTTACTCAACTAACGACCTAATCATCGTCCTCGATTCTTCCGGCAGCGTCGGGTCGGCCAACTACTTAATCGCGAAACAATTCGTTGCAGAATTAGCGGCCGGATTCACTACCCATAACGAATCCCACATCGCCTTCGCCGTTTACTCGAACAATGTTCAAGACATCTTCCGTCTCGATAACATCCTCAGTCCCGCCGAAATTGCGGCGCGAATTATGGCGGCACCTTATCACGCGTCCGGAACACCAACCGACCGAGCTATTGATGCGGCCGTGGCTCAATTTGCTAGTCTAGGTCGTGCCGTCCCACGAAATTTGGTCGTTCTCACGGATGGGCTATCTGACAACGCTGCGTTAACGAGGTTGGCCGCTGAGCGCGCGAAGGCCGCGGGAATTCGTAGTTTTGCCGTGGGAATAACGAGCAGCATTGATATGGCTGAACTCCTCGCAATTGCTGGCGGAGATGCCAGTAAGGTTTTCACGGCGGCAAACTGGGCCGAATTGGTGCAGCTTTTAGCACCAGTGAGTAGTGGAATTTGTCCATAAGGTGCATGTTATAATGTACGATTTCATTGAAAAATTTAAAATTTTATTGCAAGTAAAATAAATTGCATCACACCCCGTTGAATTTAATAAAGCTTATTACTTAAACATGGGACACACTGAGAGGGTAATCTGTGCTTTTTCATACAACAATTCTCACCCAACAGATATCTCTCTGAACGAATCAATGCATAATTTGCATATGTAATTGTAGTGGTAAGATCTCTGGGCATCAAGAAAGTTTCCCTGGTGAGTTTTACATACATATAGACGACCTCCATTTTATGGATAGGATTGGGTTGGCTTCAAATCCTTCGCTCCTTCATTTTTTTTGGTCGCATACATATATACATATTCAAACCATGGTTGGATAGAGTTGGAAGAAGTTGTACCTCAATTTATATTTATATACCTTGCTCATATGTATATACATCCTGGTATGTTTATTGCTGTTCTTTGCATTGTAAATATGTCACGTTTCTGCCTGATTTATGTGTCAGAGTAAAAGGATGGAAAAGGAAGGAAGGGTCTCCATATATACCTAAATACATAAGTATGTATTTTGTGTATATGTATAACGTATTATACGGCATACGTACATACAAAATAGTGTATAACAGTAAATGGCTTTCAATAAACTGAACTTCTGCAGACCCATCCGTTTCTCCCGCCGCTGCTGCAATACAAAAGATACCCTATAATAATGCCTTTGTCGATATGTACATATTTCCAGTTATTCGGTTATCAAGATAAACTAAATTAGGTAAGATTGCATTATTAAAGTACTGTTTCCAATAAAAATGTGTATCTACTTGTTTGCATGTATTTACACAACTAAGGATAATGATTATCTTCCCTTGGTGTCAGCATTCGCAGGGTACTGATTTCTGTATAAAATTGTCAAATTTCACAGTCAAAATAATACCTTTGAGACAAAATTGGATTTTGTATCTTCTTAATTCATATTCATTATGTACACAAATGAATAATTTTTATACATACATACGCGTAATTATTTTTTATACTAACTTAATTCCACTTAAATCATGTAAACAAAACTTGCAAAAAATTCCACAGGTTTGCTGCAACATGTCACTCAATATAGAAGACATCACTTTATCTGACCCAATCACCCTCAACGTTGACGTAAATTTATCTCCTTAAACTCTGTTACTCAAGCAAGACATTCACATAATTTTAAAATCATTATCACTCCCTTAATTTCAGGCCGTATCCGTCATTTGTTCATGGCTGCCGCTAAAGGACATTAAAAACTGTCGCCTCCTCTCCAAAATGTGGGACGATGGGGCCTCCACCGTCCTAAAAAACGAGAGCATAATTCGCCTAAACTGCAACCTCGTTCCAAACGAAGTAAAACGAAATGAACGATGTGTCAAAGACCTGGTAAAATTTGGGAATCCGGCCAATTTACATATCGACGTTGGAGTTTCTTGGGAGGTCGAGGAATACGATGAGGTCAACTTTTCGAGAGTTATCGCTCTCCTAAAAGAATTCACGTGCGTGCGAAGATTAAAATTTTCCGGGGCTGTTTACCTCCCTTGGCAGAATGAAGTGATGGAAACTGTTTTCCTCAATGTTTCCGAAAGTGTGTCCCATTTAGAATTTGACGTGGAATATTCCATGGGAAACGTCGCGGGCGAGTTCGTACCTGGTCAGGAATTTTGTGGGGGGAAGAAATTCGTCCACGTAAAAAGACTGGATATTTTAGATGATTATACGATCGGGATGATTACAGGGCTTCCAGGAGTGAAGGAGCTTTCCGTTGTTAATTCGAGTTCATTAAAGCATTTGGAGAAACAAGGTTTACCGTAAGTATGTCTTTGCTATTTTATCTAAGAACCCTAGAGTAAGTTTTAAAATTTCTGCAATGTATAAATTGTGAGTAGAAAAAAATGAGGAAACACAAAATATGTATCCGTCAAACGAAGCGTTTTAATCAGATAATTACTCAGTCTTAAAAATTATTGTTAGGTGAGACGCTAAGAAAAGTGCAAACTAGTTTTTAAGACAATTGGCTTGTTACTAACCGTACAAACTTGTGATGAATACACTCTAAAAAAAACTTCCCAGAAATTTACTCAGGGTTGAGTACGAAAAAAATTACACAACAATCGTGTAAAATTTATCCAGCTGTTGGATAAATTTTACACAAAACTGGATAAACTTTACCCAATTATAGTCATCCTCTTTTTTGCTCAACCCTAAGTAATTTTCACATAACTTTTATTTAGAGTGTAGTAACCCTCATTGACATTAACCCCTAATTCCTTTCCTTCCTTACAGACGCCTATCGAAATTGCACCTTTTAAGCTTAAATGGAGAACTGGAACTTCGATCCGTCCTCCAGTTGAACCGACCACTGAGAACGCTCTCGATTTACGAATTAAGTACAGAGAATAAAAATAATCCATACCTACGAATTCACCTCGATTTACACGAGCTCCTCTGCAAACATCGTAACACTTTAGAATACCTCACCTTAGAATTAGGCTCATTCTGCATATTGCCGGCCGGCAGTGTCTGGAAACTCCCCACGTTTCCTATCTTGAAACGTCTTAAGCTCTTAATATCAAATAGTGACAACGATTTTGACATTCGTTTTGACACCGCCGTGTTAAACGTTTCTACAAATTTTCCGCAATTGAGGGAAATTAATTTAGTTTTTGTGGAACAATGGAAGGGTGGGTGGATCCGGTGTTTTGATTCGCTGTTCCCACCCACCCGGAATGAAGTCGTTTGTCGGAGTGTGACACATTTTGAGATCCGAGATCAATCCGAGGATCAAATTTATAACGAGAGAGTTTCCACAGCGAGTAGAATTTTTGATGTGAAAGGAAGTGAAATTGATGCAAAGTTTGCCAGGCCTTTAGAAATGTTTCCTAAAGCGGAGAATAAGTTTATGCTGGATTTGAGAAAATAGTACGGTTTCAAAGGATAAATTATTGTGTATGTACGTAGCTTTAATTTTCAAGTTAAATTGAAATGTTAGCTCACGTTTTTACTACATATGCATTAACAGTAAAAAAATATTGTTGATTGTGTGATGTTATATACTTTTATAAATGTTTACACGGGCATTTAATATAAATAATTATTAAGACGATTTTCAATCCATTTCCGATCCTACTGCTAAAATTTTTTTGTAATTAGATTAAGTACTACAAATTATGTAGCTATATACATATGTACACTAATGTATATAATGGTTAAGGATTATACATATATTATTTAATATTACAATATGATATCATTGATTATTATACTATATTATTTTTCTTTTTCTTCTTATTAATATTATCTTATATTATTATTGTTATTATTAAGATATTAATATGTTAATGATACATACATAACACGTGTATGTATCTGACGGCAGTTAAAACTACAATGAAACAATTTGCGAGCTAATGCTAATTTCTTTATCCAATTAAAAAAAATCATATCGCGGAACTATTAAAATTGCTTTATTCTATGCATTACTCCAAAATTACTGCCAACCAATTTTCAAACCAAGAATCGTAAAATTCATAACATTACATTTTTAGTTCATAAACATGTATTTATGTAACTAATTTCGCCAATTCCATGCCCTTCAAAATCTAGCCGTGTTTAAATTTCTCCCTTATTCAACTACTGCAGATCCATTCCCACAATCCACCTCCTAAGTTGATCAAAGACATGGTACCTCAAATTTGGAAACGTTGCGGAAATTCGGTTAAAAAAATTGGCCGAACTCTGCCACCCATAACAGTTCCAGATCCTATCATCACACAAATTCCCGGGATTGATCCCCTCTCAACCGGAACATTTCCATCGGCGGGAGCGGGACATCCAAATCACGTAGCGTTTCCCACTTCACATTATTTCCCGGGGTGAAAGAATTATACAAAAATTTTACCGTAGAGTTAAAATACAAGCCCCTCTCTTTCTCACTTTCTCCACGGTTGGCGTGCTTAACCGAGACTGCAGCCAAGACTGGGAACTGTTTCGCATAGTTTAGCTTGACCTTGTTGGTGGGATCTTCAGTTGCGAATTTTATCCCCAGGACGCCATCAGTCGGTTGTATCGACCGGCTAATCTTGAAAACCTGTAATCTAGACATGATTGGTATGCACAGAAAGGTTTACTTGGATCTACATGCCGTCCACTAGCAATCTGGATGTTCACGTGTTCCAAAAAAGGCGCGAAAATGTGGAGCAACCTTGTCCCAAATGTTGGGACCTGGCTGGACACGTTAAATTCGAGGCGGCGGAGTGGCGGGAGAAAGGGTTGTGGCGTCATTAAACACAAGTCATCGAAATGACGACATGGATCTTGAACCGATAGCGATGTCAACTTCAGAAACGGAGTGACCCTGGTACGAAACAGAAATTTTAATCCTTGCCGCGGTGGGCAGTAGGTCTCCAGGCAGGTGATGGCAGGGAATAGGGGCACAAATTTAGCCAGGATTGCGGTATGCATCGTTTCTGAGTAGTGTCTAATGTTGTGCATGTGCAACGAGAGTTTCGTGACGGAGGGGAAAATCAAATCATGGCCGGGATTGAAGTCTGCCAAAAAAGCGGATGGATTCCCAGTGGGCACCCTTGTGCCTTCCTGTACATAAAGTAGTTAAAGATATGATACATTGCTACTCCCCTACAAATTGTAGGCTACAATATCTGCGGGAGGGTGTTATTTTAAGAATTTTGAAAAATTTCGATTAGTATATTTGGATGACTATGTCACTCAAATATCGATTTTCCTGTATTATGGTTGCCACCGTTTGGTACATATTAAAATTAGTTCGGCCCGTTAAAAAATTTGCTAGCGAGGTGCTAAAATTGTAATACCTAGTTATTATTACAAGGATTTAATACCACTTTGGTAAAGTCGGATATGAATATCACTTGGTTTATTACAGTGCATAATACTGGATTTCCAAGTGGATTTCACCTTTCAGGCAATGAAATGGATCGTAAGCTGCCAACTAAATTTTTTAACAGTGATTGAAATCCTGTAAATTTTATCCATCCCGTCATCTCAGAATTTCAGGAAAGAGATACCCTTAGAGTTGAACTTTTACAGAAATTTCCGAGAAACTACGCCACTATCAGTCTTAAATTCACTCAAGTAATGCTAACGGAGACTTTGAGATTGGCAGTGGCGTAGTTTCTCAAAATTGTAAATTTCTGTAAAAGTTTACCTCTGCGCGAATGGAGACTATTAAATACAAGAATAACGTACCCGTAATTCGTAGGAAAAAAGTTCATAATCCGTGAAGAAGCAAAGTTCCAGAGAGGTCAATCGATGTCCGAAGAGTTTGATAACTTGCAACAATTCCATCGGCAGTGTTCCACCATCCAGGAAAAAGCTGACAGCTACATGTCTCACTTTGCCGCGACTCTTTTCGGCTAGATTTTTAAATCTGGGGAGAAATTCGGCCAGTCCTTGGTAGTAGTTCCAACCTAATATTGTGCTTTCGTGATAGTTTGATCTGACGGACATTACTTGTTCATATTGTTCATAATAGGTGTTAAAAGTTCCATGAAATACGGATCGGGCCCGGATGTGAATTCTTGCTTCGTGCTCCCATCCCGAGTTGAGTTGAGTGCACGTGCGCAGGTCGGAAATAGGAAGAAAGGATGTAATTTTTCCGATAATCTGAACAAATAAATTGCGTGAATAAATGCGAGTCGGGTCACGGGTCAAGGATAAACAACCCTACCCGCCCGTGACCCGACCAGGTTCTGGCGGGGAGGATTCAGAAATTAACCTGGCCGGCACGGTCCCGCATTCAATGTCACTTTCATTTTAAATTTCTGACTCGACTCAACTCTTAGCGAGTACACTCATAGAAATCTCTGGTATGAGTTAACTCTTAGCAAAAATGGTATTGAATCATCACCAAACGGAGTGCATATATGACTTAACCGGAGCTGTGATAACGGGCAACCCCGCATAGTGAAGAATAAAACACCGTTGTGGTGATGAAAACTAACCACTTGGAATCAAACTATTACCAACCCGGGGAGAAATTATCACCAAATCAATACCATCACGGAGTGTATATATGACTTCACCACTTTGCTAAGAGTGTTGGGCAGGAATTTATTTCTTTTTTAACGTTGCTCCCGCCCAGTACTAGAATTATACTGACCCGTAAGATTATGCTACCGATATGGCTAAACTCTAAAGTCGAGACTCTCTCCTCGAGATACAGATATTAATACACGGTATTACTTATTAATACCACTTTGGTAGAGTCAGATTTTAATACGGGTTGGTAATATTATAATAAGGAATTTCTAAGAGTGTAGCGGTAATTCGATTAAATTTTACTTATCAAACCTCAGGAAGCGATGTGGCCAGGTGAGCAGGAATGCTGTCCATAATTGTTGCTACAGACGTAAAAAAAATACATCAATAGAATAATCTTTATTCACCTTAAATTGTGGTAATTTACATAATTGTGGTTTATATGTAAAATATTCATCACTGATTTCCCTACCTTCAGTTTGCGTATGCCAAATTTCCTCTGTGTGCATTTGATTAGACATCTGAAGAAGAACTGTAACTGAGGCTAGCACTATTTCCTCGTACGTCTTTTTCTTAAGTGTGAAAGGGTTGAAAGGGTTTGGAAAATTCCTGGGTTCAAATATACAAATGAACCTACATATCCAACGAAGTTTAACTTTATGGGAATGAAGGATTGGTAAAAATAGGCCTTCTTTAGCATTCTTGTGTGACAGCGACATAGTGGTGCTGTACGATTTCGACTCACAATGGAACCTTTTTTCAAGCAATACCGGGATTGTTTAACGAGTTCTATAAAAAAAATCGAGCCAAAAATTAGGAATAAAATGGTGCTTAGCATTCTGTTGAATGGCCCCTCTGAAAAAAATATTGGCAGAAAGTTCAATTGTTTAGCAAATTTTCCCTCCCTTTTTCTTCCACTAACCGAAACCCAATGATAAGCGCTAAAACAATTCCTAATTTGTGGCTTGATTTTTTGATATAAAAATTTCCTTAGATAATCCCGGTGTAGCTTGAAAAAAGTGCTACTGTGAGTCGAAATCTTACAGAACCACTACGTGGGGTACGTTAGGGTTACGTTTATTAAGAGTAGGTACGAGTTGTCTGCAAAATCCTTCAAACTTTCAATTTAGTATATGTATGTATATACACCCTTACAAATAATGATACACTGATGAAAAGTAAATGGATTCTCAATTCTAGGGACGTTCGTAAACTTCGTAATGCAAAGAGAGGTGGGTGAGTGGTCAAGGCTGAATGACACCGCGCACTTGTTAAAGGGGAGGATGGGTTTGGCCAAAAGGCCAAAAATTGGTTACGATGTTTACGAAAGTCCTCACTACATTAAGTAAACAAAATCCAGAGCAAACGTTACATTTTATTAAGTCAATGTTACTCTGATTTTAGTGTGCTTAATATAGAATTCAGAGTGCGTTTATATTCCAAAAGGTTGACGCAGTGTCAGCTTGAGACAGTTTTTAAAAGTGTACAGAATTAAAATTCAAATGCGATAATTTCAGAAACTACTCGTATAGTTTATTAATTTATGCAATTTTTCAAATAAACATGGATGATCAAATTACTTCATTATTTATTAAAATTATTTTATTGTACTCATTGTTCCGAAATCAGTATCTTTGTTACTAAGTTATCAAATATGTTCGCAAATGAAATACAATAATTGTTTTTTTAATATTGGCAGATTGTAATATTTTTAAAATTTGGATAGATTAAAAAAGATGTTAAAATCGTTAATTATGCATAATTATGCATGTTACTTATACATAAAAATATGTATAATTTTAGCACAAAATAATTATATGTATGTACATAATTCAAAATATTTTCATTCGTTTCAAATACGAATTGAGGATATCAACTAATAAATAAGCAACAGTTGCATAAGAAACCATCTCAAAACTCATTCAACCACTTTCTCTATTCTCCGCCCTAAATCTACCCGAATTTCACCCTCTCCTATTCCCGATTTCAGCAAAACGCTCAAATTCAACCCCACTTGAATCCACCCCTTCACAACTTTACTTAGGAACTTAAGATTAGCAAACCTCTGGAAGAGATGTGGCCAGGTGAGGGGTTTTGGGGTGTTGAATGCTCCCAAGTTCCATGGTTGCTACAAAAAAGTACATAGATATTACGTTACATAAATATTACGTAAATAATACGTTGTAACAAAAATAATCAGTTTTTACCAAGTGTATACTCAATCTTAATTTCGTATTAAATTTATTCTTACTACGAATTTGGAAACTTCTAATTTTCACAAAAACCGGTTTTGCACAGAATCTAAAACCGATACGTATGTATCTCAATTTTTTCCAAAATCAGACTAATCGAAAACCAGTTTTAAAAATCTTCTGATTTTAGGCACCCTAGATAATTTCTTACATATTTATGCATATACTTACCTTATGTAAGTCTGCTTATCTTTCCTCAGTCAGATTTCAGGCGTAAAATAATTAGTTGTTTGGACTTTGGGTAATGAACTGCTACTGAAGTTAAAAGTATTTCATCGCCTTATCTTTACACAAGTGAGAAAGGCTTGGAAAATTTCCAGGGTTCAAGTAGAATAACCTTGTTAAACAGATTAGATTTTGTTTGAGTCCAAGATTGATAAATACGGAGCCAACGACCTTACTTATTATTAACTTATAATGAAACCATGTGATGTAAGGGACAAGGCATCAATGTTGCTTTAGAGTAAACAAGGCTGGGATCGTCTAATCCATCATATTCTCATTTCATCATAAAGTCCTAAGTAAAAATAATTTAAACCTTCGGACAAGAAAATAAATGACCTCAGAATTCTATATTAAGTAGATTATACTAAATCCAGTGTAAACTTAACTTTTGTAAACCTCAAGTGACTCTGGATTTAGCCTTTGATGTTTATTAAATCTATGTGTGTATGTATGTATGTAGGACTCGACGACTCATCGCTGGTAACGTCACAAGTCTTAAAAACCATCACGTTTTTATTCACTTGACAAATCTGAAATTTGAATTTTTTTATAACCTCTTCTGTAAAGGAAGTCAGTTCGAGTTTAGTAAAAATATGATTTCCTGGTTTTGAAGAAGGATTTCGATATGCTTTTAGGAAAGGATGAGTCACAAAGTATAAACGTATAGAATTCGAAATGTGCTTATTTTCCTAAAGCGGAGAACAAGTTTATGCTGGACTTGATAAAATATTAAGCTTCAAAGGATCAATCGCTTCGTAAACTGGTTTCATATTCTAGCTGTAATATGTGAGCTCAAATGCTTCTACGAAAATAACCATACACATGTAAACAGATTAGCAATCTGTTTCAATATAAATTCAATAATACATACATTTTCTTATAAATTTTATTTGTTTAAATGTGAAGTTATTTGTATGTACATATGATAGTACAATTACATATTAGATACAAGTCAAACCTGAAAATTTTTTGACTAACTAATTACTGCTTACAGAATTTCTAACGAATTTCTAATTTATTATAACAATGTTTTTGCACTAAAATAATTACACACCCAAAATTATTTTATTCTACGAATTATTATCCAAATACCTGCTTTGTTAAACTAGTCATAAATTAACCATTAACACAGTTTCTTGGAAACTCGATCAAAATATGGTTGTTTTTTAATTTTCCTAATTCTTTAAAAAACGGGTAAAATCGTTGTGAATAAATTATATCTGCATAAATACACAATGCAATTTGTCGATCAATTAATTCAAATTCAAAAATGTTGGCTAATAAACGCGTGAATAAATATGTAAAAAAAAAACTGATAAAAAAATAATCTAAAAATTAGAAATTTATATATAAATTTTGTAGTATACTACAAAATTTCAACTTCATAAATATTTGAAATCTAAATAATTTCCTAAATTCCCCACCCTAAATCAAGCTTTATTTATCTCATTTTCTTCATTACTCTGCTTGGGCAAAAAGCCCAAATCCAACCCTACCTGAACCCACCGCTTTGCTACCCAACTCCTAATCTGATAAAAGACATGGTACCGCAAATTCGGAAATGTTGCGGTAATCCGGTCCAAATATTTCATGGAATACTGCCACCCGTAGCATTTATACTGACCTGAATACGACTCCCAACTTAAAACGTCCCAATGTGACCATACCAACCGGAACATTTCCATCGGTGGGAGCGGGACATCTAAGTCACGCAGCGTTTCACATATCCCCATATTTCCTCCAGGGGTAAAAGAATCATACAAAAACTGTACCGTAGATTTGAAATACCCCACCCGCTCTTCCTTACCTTCCCCGCGATTTGTATATTTAACCGAAAGTGCCACCAAGACTGGGAACTGTTTGGCATAGTTTAGCTTGACCTTATTGGCGGGATCCTCGGTTTCAAATTTTAGCCCCAGCACGCACTCAGTCAGCTGTACCGACCGGCTAATTTTGAAAACTTGTAACCTTGACATGATTGGTATATATATAAAATTATTGCTTTGCCCCACCCCTAATCCAGCGGCAATCTCGATATTTCACCTATAGATTAAATTGCACTAAAAATCTCATTTTGCCCCGACCACACCCCCTGTCGCCAAAGGGGGTGTGGTCCGGTTGCCCCCAAAAGTTGATAGGATCCTCCCCCTGGGGTCCTATGTATGATGGCGAAAACCGATTTCGATTATCTCGATCCGTTCTCCTGATATCCTGGTGACAGACAGACAAACAGACAGACAGACAGACAAAGTCTTCACATAAAGTAGCTGAAGCTACTTAATAATCTTGGGTGAATAGGGTTTGCGTGCCCACGGTAAAAAATATATGTATAAATACAAGAATTATACATAGTTACCTGAACTTCGTAGGGACAAGGCTTATAATCCGTGAAGAAGGTAAGTTCCAAAGATGTCAATCGATTTCCGAATAGTTTAATGAGTCCCAACAATTCCACCGATTGTGTTCCTCCACCCACGAAAAAGCTGACAGTTAAATGTCTCACTTTGCACCTACTCTTTTCAGCTAGATTTTTAAATCTGGGGAGAAAGTCGGCCAGTCCTTGATAGTAGTTCCATTTTAATATTGCGCTTTCGTGATAGTTTGAGCGGATGGACATTGCTTGTTCATATTTTTCGTAAGAAGTGTTAAATAGTCCGTGAAATACGGATCTGGCCCGGATATGATTTCTCGCTTCCTGCTCCCATCCCGAGTTGACTTGAGTGTACGTGAGCAGGTCAGAAATTGGTAGGAAGGCGGTAACATTTCGGATAATCTGCAGAAATAATTTGCGTAAATTAATATGATCAGCGGGTATTTAGATGTGAGTCGGGTGACGGGTCAACCCGACAAAAACCCGACTCGCCCGTAACACTATCGGTTTCGGGCGGAACGGGTTTAGAAATAAATTTTACGTCTTTCGGATCAAATTTTCAAGTGTCTAACACGACTCAACTCTATTGGCGAGCACACTCTTAGAAATCTGGTATAATCAGACAGGTATTTATTTCTCCGTTTCAACCTTGCTCCCGCTCATTAAATATTAAAATTATACCGGTCCGTAAGAATTTGTTTCCGATATGACGAAACTCTAATTTCAAGATATGTATTACTACACGATATTACTTATTAGTACCACTTTGGTAGAGTCAGATATTAATACGACTTAGTATTATTTGAACAATGAATTTCTAAGAGTGTAGAGATAATTTGACTAAATTTGACATATCAAACCTCAGGAAGTGATGTGACCAGGTGAGGAGGAATGCTGTCCATCATTGTTTCTAAAGACGTCAATAAATACATCGTTAGAATATTCAATCTCTACCTTAAATTGTTGCTACATTATAAAATATTTCTCCATACCTACCTTGTTCGTATGTCAAATTTCCACCGTGTGCATTTAATTCCACGTTTGAAAATGAAATGAAAATGAGGCTAACACAGTGTCATCGTCCGTCTTTTCCCAAAGTGTGAAAGGGTTGAAAGGGTTTGAAAACTTCCAAGGTTCAAACATACATGCGATCCTTTTCAAAAAGGTTAAATTCCATGGAATGCAGGATTGGTAAAAATGGGGTTGGATGGTTAAGTATTTGTGAGGCAACGACAATGTATTAAGGTTGCGGTGACTTAGGAAAAGTACCTACGAGTTATCTACATAATCCTTAAAACTCTCATTTTAGTAAATGTACACTCTTAAAAATAATGATATGTACACTTATGAAAACCAAATGGATTTTCAATTCTTGGGACGTTCGTAAACTTCGTAATATAAGGCGAGGTAAGTGATATCGTGCCTATGTGACACACTAATGGGGGTGGCTGAGTACCCGAAAGACCACAAATTGTCGTTACGAAGTTTACGAAAGTCCCCTCTAAGTACATTAAGTAAGCTATAAATCCACAGCAAACTTTATATTTTATCAAGTCATCGTTACTCTGAACATAGTTCAGTTTACTTAATATAATTTCTGAAAGTATGTACACATGTACGTATTTATATACATAGATAATTTATTTACACAATTTTTTAAACAATTATGTATGATCAAACTTCATTATTTATTAAAATTATTTAATTGTACCCATTACTCCCAAATAATTGTTTTAGTACTCATGGTCATTTATCGATAACATGTGTTCGCAATTAAGTTCAATAACTGTTTTTTTTAATATTGGCCAATTCTAATATTCTTAAAATTTTTGTTAAATTGTTACTTATGCATACTAACATGTGCATAAAAATACGCAGGATTTTAGCACAAACTTACATATTATATACATACATAATTCAAAAGATTTTCGTCCATTTCAAATACGAATTAAGGATATCAACCACTAAATAAGCAACAGTTTCTATGTATGATGAGGGCCACAGGCCATGTGTCATTTAATAAATTGATTGATTGATTGAAATAAGCAACAGTTACAAAGAATCCATCTCAAAACTCATTCAACCACTTTCTCACTCCCCCAATATTTAGCCGAATTTCACCCTCTCCATTACCCGGTTTCTTCAACACGCCCAAATCCAACCCCACCTGAATCCACCCCTTTACCACCTTACTCCTAATTTCATCAAACACATGATACCGCAAATTTGGAAAAGTTCCAGAAATCCGGTCCAAAAATTTGGTCGAACTCTGCCACCCATAACACTTACAGATCCTATTTTGGCAAATATTCTCAGCTTTTACACCTCTCAACCTGAACATTTCCATCGGGGGCAGCGGGACATCCAAGTCACGCAGCGTTTCGCACCTTACCCCATCTCCCCCAGGGGTAAAAGAATCATACAAAAATTTTACCGTAGATTCAAAATGCATAGCCCGCTCTACCTCTGTGTCCTCGTCCTTACGATTCAGGTATTTAACCGAAAGTACTGCCAAAACTGGGAACTGTTTCGCATAGTTTAGCATAACGTTATTGGCGGGATCCTCAGTTTCGAATTTTACCCCAACCTCGCACCTGTTGAATTCAGTAGAGCACCCAAATGCGTATCGTCTGATTTTGAAAACCTGCAGCCTTGGCATGATTGGCACGTAGAGAACAGTGCTGTTTTCTTGCTGCCCAATCCGCTGATTGGAAATTTCGATGTGCAAACGTTGCAACAAAGGTGCAAAAATTTTCATCAAACTTGTCCCACAAGTTGGCTCATGGTTGGACATGTCAAACTCAAGGCGGCTGATTTGCGGAGAAAAGTACCATGATAGCTGATTCGTCATAAATGCTCGATCATCCACCACGTCGGGACATTTGTATGGATTTTTGTCGGCTAAAGATGTCAACTTAGGAAATAGCGTGGGGTTTGTACGAAACAAAAATTCAAATACTTCCAACCGCGGGAATGAAAACCCGATGTGGGTCACGGCGGGGAATAGGGGTGCAATTTTAGCCAAAATTATGGGATGTATCGCAGTGTTTGCAATATTAAATGTGTACAAGGAGAGTTTTGTGATGAAGGGGAAAATCAAATCTTTGCCGGGGTTGAAGTCTGCCAGAAAAGCGGATGCATCCTCAGTATCGTATGTATTCTAAAGTGGGTAAAAAGAGACACGAGATATATTATCACGGGATGGTTCTAACATTATTGGATTGCTTGTTGACCATATTTGCAGACAGCAAATTAAACAAACTTATATTACTGCTTGCAGTAAAAAGTGTTCGCATATTGGAAGTGTCAAGTTTCGTCCTATTTGTTCAACCAGTTAGAAATTAATTTTGGATATGTACTTAAAAAGCATGAGAGGAGCTCGACAAAATGTTTGCTCAAAAGGTAGGGAATGTATATTTGGATCATTGAAGGACTAAAAACCTTTGGTATACTCATTTTTAGTATTGCACAAAAGTTTCATTACATTTGATTCGTCCAATCATTTTTTGAAGGTCGACACTAGCTTGACACTTACAATATGCGGACACTCCATAATATAAGTTTTTAGCACAAATAATCATGCAGCGGTGCTGCTTGATTATTGGTGCTCGTGTAAAATATTGCCTAACTTTAAACGCGTACATAATCCTGTATCTTGTGCAAAAACTGAAAGAGCTAAATTTTCGACACAGTAAGAATTATTCGATTCAACAACGAGATCCACAACTAACTTTAGAATTTGGAATCAAATACATATTTTAAAATGTTTCTATGGTCAGTGTGTGATGATGAAAGCAAATTTTTTGGCGGAGTAGTTAACCTAGGAGGCCTTATGGACTTATAACATTTGTACATAGGAAAGCGAATTTTTCAGGAACGGATGGATAGAAATACAAAATATTTTTTTTGCATTCCTTACCCAAATACCTCCACCCTTTTGATGTCTTCCAGAAATTTCAGGTTTTACAAATCAAATCAAATCTGCATTTATTTATTTAAGGTTTCTACAAAATGTGTCAATTATATAATGCACACTGTATGAAGTACAATAATTAATGTATTTGTTAATTTTGCCGACTTATGAAAATTTCCCCTTAATAGATCTTTATGATAAGCTAAAAGTTTATCATAATGTTTCATACCATGAAATGAGTTTATTAAGGTAATATAATGTCAAAAGCTAAAATTTTCCGGGACTATATTTGTCAAGAGAAAAGAATAGTAAGGGCAACAAGAACTGTAACGTATTCTGAGCCTAACATTATATGTAATGGATTAATGAGAAAGTCATTTCAATATAGGGCGTCAAAAACGGTACTGAATTTACCGGTACGAATCACTGAAAAGTTAAGAAATCTAAGTATAATTGAATTTAAACGACTAGTTAAATGTGAGCTTGTTCATGAACAATGTACCGAGAGAATGGTGGAATTATTTGATATTTTAGACGATCATGATGCACTTTGATAAATTGTATTATTTATTTTCTTAAATCTATTGTAATGACAAATTTTTTACCTTGAGGCGTAATAACCCAGCATTGGGGTGTCTCATTGAAATAAATAAATCAAAAATCAAATTTGAACTTCGAAAAAAAATTTCTAAAATTATTATTAATTTCGCTATTCTGTACATTTTTATTTCGATTTTAGTAACTCAAACGCATACCCAATGTAAATCTCGCGATTGAAAAATGAATAATTATGTACCTATTTATGATAAATAATATAATATGTGTCAAAAAGTTCGAGGTTTTGCCCTTGTACACATTTAGGTTGTACACTTTTTATTGTACGCTAAATTTACGTCCATGTTTTCGCCTGTCCAGTCTTACTCCTGTACACGTTTGAATTGTCCACGCAAGAACCGGATACCGTACAAATGTTACAAGTCCATAAGGCCCCCCAGGGTAATTACTCCGCCAAAAAATTTGCTTTCATCATCACACACTGACCATAACAACATTTTAAAATACTTGGTTCCAAAGTTAGTGGTGGTTCTCGTTGTTGAATCGAATAATTCTTACTCCACAGCTGTTTTAAGCATTTCTGAAGTAAATTGTGCCACATTAACCGCTACCTCAGTACTTTAATAAATCCTCAAATTAGTAAAATTTATTTGCTGTATGAGAAACCGTACCTGCCGATCATAGAACACATCCAACTTGGTGAAGAAGGTAAACTGTAGAGACGTCAAATGATTTCCGAAGAGCTTGATAATTCTAAAAAATTCCATCGGCCGTTTTCCACCATCCAGGAAAACGCTCAGAGTTAAATGTCTCACTTTGCCGGTACATTGCTCAGCAAGATTTTTGAACCTGGGGAGAAAGTCGTCCAGTTCCTGGTTGTATTCCCAATTTATTCGCATCGTCTCGTAGTAGCTCGTTCGGACGGACATTACTTCTCCATAGCTTTCATAGTAGCCTAAAAAACGCCCACTAAACACGGAACGCGCCCGGATATGATTTCTTGCTTCCCGCTCCCATCCCGCATTGACTTTAGTGCACGTGAGCAAGTCAGAGATGGGAAGAAAGGAGGTAATTTTTCCGATAATCTGAGCAAACAATTTGCGAGGATGTAGGTATTTAAATATGAACGGCCAGTCAGTGGGAAAGGACAGATTTGTCAGTATACGTATATCTAAGCTATTTATATAAAGCAGGCGAGCGTATCGCTGCTGGCTGGCTGGCTGGGTCGGTGGCTTACAATGGAGGTCTCCCAACGTATGCGCACAGATTTGGACCAAACTGGCGTCAATCTATCACAAATATAATTAGGATGAAATTTGCAAATGGAACTATCTGCCAATGCGCAGGTTTGGCGGAGATATTTGCATCCGAAGCAGGAAAAATGCCTAGCAAATTTGGAAAATTAAAAATTTGCCAGCCTTGGGGCTGCGTTTTCTCCCCCCTTTTATGCAAATATCTCCGCCAAACCTGCGCATTGGCAGATAGTTCCATTTGCAAATTTCATCCTAATTATATTTGTGATAGATTGACGCCAGTTTGGTCCAAATCTGTGCGCATACGTTGGGAGACCTCCATTGTTAGTTGAGGAGTTAGCCTCTCCTTTTCTCTCTCCACCCTGCAGAGACAACAGGAGAGGCTAACTTCACTAATGTTGGGGTAACGGGCTTATCGAGGGGCCTATTTTTCACGTCGATTGACGGGCTTCTACACTAGTAGGTATATAAATCGGGGTGTGCGACACTATTTATAACCTTCTAGTAAAACAGTTCTGTGCAAAAATAAATACCAGTTTTTCGGGGAATACTTAGGGCTTTCGCCATGGGATGTTGATCACTTGGTAGTTTCGTAGCGGAGCAGTCGAAAAATAGGTTTCGAATTCTGAAATTGTCTTGGAATATGCCAAATATATCTAACCCCATGCCACAAAAATTTCATAAGTTTTCATTGGAAAATAAATTTCGTACACGATTTCAAATCCAAGAAGTTGAGAAACAAACTTTTTGTAAGTACCAAAATCTGAGCGAGAAAGACTCGAAGAAGGCCTGACCATATTTTATCGGAGAAGGTTGTGGCCGTGAAAAAATTGAAACATACATAAAAACGTATGGAGAATCCGAAAATGTGAACTTTAAATAACCACTATTTGAAGAATCCATCGTATCGACACCTCAAAAGTTAAAAACGATTGAATCGTTTTTTGAAAATTCTGATAGTGTTAATAGGACATGGATAATATACTTAACTTTTCTTTGTTCGCGGATCTGGGTAGTCAGATATATTTATAATATTCTACACAAATTTGAGATTTTTGAAATCGTTTTTTGACTATTTGTACTTCAAATTCCTAGTGATCAACTTCCCATGGCGAGAGCCCTATGTTTCCATCTCGATGTTGCAAATTTGAATTTAATACGACGCTAATCTCTTCATACAGTGACAAATCGCTACACTCTTAGAAATCTGGTATGTATTAAAATAACGCCACATGAAAGTTTTATCATACCAGTAACAAATTTTTACTAAGCCGTACATATAATTTTAGTTCCAAGTTGTGTCAACTTTAATACCGAGAAATCAATACCTGTATAGCTGTTTATATTAAATTTGCAGCGATGTACAAGTGCATGGTGATACTATTTATAAAAATCTGAGGCTAATTAAAATCAGGTTATTTAGTTAACAAACCTCGGGTAGAGATGTAACCAGTTGAGGAGGATTGTCGTCCACTGCCATAATTGCTGCTACATTAAAACAATAGTAATCAATTTTAATTTAAAGCACAATTTTGGCGACGCTTTAAAATATTTGTCGTTAATTGCCATACCTTCAGTACGTGTAAATATGCTTTCTAAGCTAGATTTCCTCCGTCAAAACTTGCAATTAGTTGCTAGAACGTTGGACGTAGATGTACTACTACTGAAGTACAAGTATTTATTGGCCTGCTTTTCACTCACAGTGTGAAAGGGTTGAAGAAATTCCGGGCTTCAAACAAAGGACCTTTTCAAAAAAGGTTGAATTCATTCTATTGGAGTGCAGGATAGCAATTGGATTTCTTATTAAATGTATGTAAATATGTATTGAGCGATACTGAACCCTTGTCGTTTAACGGATAATCCTTAAAGGCTGAGGTATATTTAGCAAGGCAGGGGTCGATTCATCTCATTTCATGTTAATATGTATGTCCACTATTAAAAATTACCCTTTTGAAAATTATTTAAGTTCAACCTGAATTCTAAATTAAGTGAAATATATATACTAATCCTTAATACATACTATACATATGTATCATACATACATATGTAGAGTTTGCATACATAATGTATGCAAACATTGAAGATATGTAAGTCATCAAAATTGAACGTATTGATGGCAGAATATATTTATTTTCTGCCAGAAAGGCTAACATAATTTTTAGGAGTGCAGCCAGATACATAAATTTTACATTTAATGTTGATTTGTGTAACTTCATAAATTAAAGGTTTCCATATATTTAATATAATTATCAATTTCGCTGGATTAACGTGTAATGCTACTGAACAAATTACCTTTAGATTAGAACTTGATGTACTCGTAACGTGTGAAGTTTAGAATTTAGTTACTACTAAAATTTACGAACCCACAAAAGTAAATATTAATGCCTAGCTAAATATCTGTAGACAGTTACAAACTTTACACTGACAAACTAACTTTGAACAATTTAACTTCGAACGTGATAAATTAATTAATTTAATTAAGTTAACTAATTTAATTCTGCTATTTTTCAAATACAAGTATACTTTGCTGTGTATATTAAGTCGCCGGCCAAATTATAAAACTATTGATCACCATTAAAAATTAAACAATTTTAATTAACAGTATTGTATTCTACTAATTATCAGATACATCTTTATTCATTGTAGTATAGATTGTATTCGCAGAGATGTATGTACAGTATTTTACTAGTTATTGTTTATATGTACATAACTCATTGGGATTTTCAGCCAATAGCATGAACAAATTAAGAACTATTTTCAACTAATATGAATAAATAAAAAAAACAATAAACAAACAATCGCAAACTCTATAGCACTATTTTTTCGATTTATCTCCCAAAATCTAGCCTAATTTCACCTTCAACATTACCCGATTTCTGCAACAAGCCCAAATCCAACCCCACCTGAATCCACCCCTTTACCACCTTACTCCTAATTTCATCAAACACATGATACCGCAAATTTGGAAACGTTTCAGAAATCCGGTCCAAAAAATTGGTCGAACTCTGCCACCCATAACATTTACAGATACTTTTACTGCAAATACTTTCCAAATGCAACCCTCTCAACCTAAACATTTCCATCGGGGGCAGCGGGACATCCAAGTCACGCAACGTTTCACACCTTACCCCATCTCCCCCCGGGGTAAAAGAATCATACAAAAATTTTACCGTAGATTCAAAATGCATAGCCCGCTCTTCCTCTGTCTCCTCACGGTTCGGGTATTTAACCGAAAGTACTGCCAAAACTGGGAACTGTTTCGCATAGTTTAGCATGACTTTATTGGCGGGATCCTCAGTTTCGAATTTTACCCGCACTTCACACCTTTTCTTAGCAGTGGTGCATTCGTTTGCGTGCCGGCAGATTTTGAGCACCTGTAACCTTGGCATGATTGGGATATGGAGAACCGTGCGGGGTGCTTGATCATATGACCCCCAATCTGTAATCTTGATGTTCAAATGTTGCAAAAAGGGGGCCAAAATGTTGAGCAGGCTTGTCCCAAAAGATGGCACGTAGTTGTAAATGCAAAACTCAAGGCGGCTGATTTGGCGAAGGAAGGACTCTAATGGTTGTTTCGTCATTAAAGTGAGACCGCCACCCGCGTCCAGATGCAGGTATGACTTTCTGACGGATAGTGATGTCAGCTTCGGAAATGGTGGGGCCTCCGAACAAAACAAGAATTCAAATCCTTCCCGATAAGGAGATATGTACTGGAGGCTGGTCACGTTAGGGAATAGGCCAGAGATTTTAACCACAAGGGCATAATACGTGTCAGAGCTGTCTGTAATTTTTTCCGTGTCCAAGCAGAGGTTTGTGATTGAGGGGAATATCAAGTCTTCGGCGGGGGTGAAGTCTGCCAGAAAATCGGATCGATTCCCTGTGGGGAGCAATCTTGTTCTCTAGAATTGCAACGTGCAATATATCGTCTGTTGACAGATATATAATTAATTTTAATTTTCGTGTAAAAATGAAAATGAAAATGAAATAAAACTGAAAATTATGTCGTGTTGAAATAATTTTCGTCACTGTAAAAATTTGGTTTGGTTTTAATGGTATTGGTACCTTAATTGGTACCAATATAATTACTTAATAATACCATAATTGGTTTTAAAAAATGACTTTGTACATGAAACAACTTGCTTCTACCGGCAAACAAATTGTTCAAGTGACCAAATAACATTTGTACATGGAATCAATGTTACACCCTTGGACTACAATTGAAAAATAAATCCACCAAATATGTAAATCCAGTAATAAATGAACAAATTAGTAAAACTTAATCGTAGTGTGATAAATGTTACCTGCGATTGGTGAAAGAGACGACTGTAACCTGGTAAGAACCTTAGTTTCAGAGATGTCAAACGAGTTCCAAATATTTTGATAATTTCCAAAAATTCCTTGGATTGTGTTCCATCATTTAGAAAAAAATTGACGCTTAAATGTCTCACGTTGCCGGTACTTGTTTGAGCAAGACGTCTAAATCGGGGTAGAAACTCGTTCGATAGTACTTTATCGTATTCCCAATACAATTGTGTGGACTCCAAATAACTTGATCGGACGGACATTACTTGCTCATACCTTTCATAAGAATTTCTTCCACAGATAACTATAAGTGAAATATGCAACGTGCCCGGATATGTTGTCTTGCTTCACGTTCCCATTCCACATTGATTTGAGTGCACGTGCGCAGGTCAGAAATTGGCAGAAAAGCGGTAATTTTGGCGATAGTCTGCAGAATTAATTTAGTAAGGAAAATGTGTGATCAGCGAGTCGTGCGACAGATTAGTACATATTCGCTACATGTAACTTTTTAGCATAACAACCTGGCACGAAATATTTATTTATCTATGTGCGAACATATGTATGTAATAATGTAATATACTTTTTTATGCGAAATGTTTCCACTGTGGTAGAGAATTCAAATTTCTTAGATAATTCTGCGACAAATCGCTACACTACAAGAGAAATCCAGTACAACTATGGAATTCACGTATATACCGTAAAACCTCTATTTATAGCCCTATTCTAATTATAGCCGGTCTCCAAATATAGCCGGGTCTAGAGACCAAGATTTTAAAATTTTAGCCGGGTCTCCAATTATAGCCGGGTCTCTAATTATGGCCTTCTTGTCCGCTGTTTCCACGTTCATAGCTCATTCAAGAAAAATGTTGCACATTATGCTAATCAACGAATAATTTGACCTACTAATTTTGACCTATTAATTTCAAGTTATTAATGGATGTAATCATGAGAGAAAATTAAAAAAAAAACTGCTAAACCTCGTTCAAAGATGTAGATTTAAAGTTACTGGGTTACTGATGGCATATCTTGCTAAATTAGAAAACTCAAATTGAGGGAACATGAATTATGCGTGATTTAGTAACATTTAAAATTTTGGACGGAACAAAATTTAGCCGGGTCTCTAATTATAGCCGGGTCCGTGACCCTCAGTTTTGAATTTTAGCCCCAGCTATAAATAGAGGTTTTATGGTATGTATGTATCACTCTACCAAAGTGGTATTGGTAAGTAAATAATACCGAGTTGCGATAACTTGGCAATAAAGTTTTACAACATATTTACATACCTATCTAGGCAGCAAATTTATAACTTTAATATGAAGCTGTAGCAACTTTGATATTGAGAAATCAATACCTGACTGACCATACTAGATGACTTGTACATATATGTAATACCAGCCTAAAAGAGAATAGAAATATCGTTATTGAGTTGATTTTACTTAACAAACCTTTGGTAGGGATATCGCCAGGTGAGGAGTTTTAATAGGGTGTTGAATGATCCCCAGCTCCATAATCGCTGCATAAACACAAAAATAGTAGAAAAAATAATCAATTTTCACCTAAAATATGGATTGAATTCGACGTTATTAAATAGTTGTCGGCGATTTCCATACTTTTTTTGTATGTTTCCTACTGCTGCCAGGTTCCCGTCGTCGATACACGCAATTTCTTTCAGACGTTTTGCGATTAACTGGCACTGAAGCCCGTTAATACATGTGCATCTCCTCGACTGGTTTTTACGAAAGTGTGAAAGGGTTGAGAAAATTTTAAGGATTCCAACAAAAGAACCCTTTTTACGTAAAAAGGTTCAATAGATTCCAATTGAGTACATTATTAATGAGAATTCGTACTACTTGTTAAACGACAATGTAAAAACGACTTTTAAATTAAAGGACAGGGCAAAAAGGTTGTGGTAGATTTACCAAGGTAGGGGTCATTCAACCCTTCATATTCTATAAATAATGTCACCCTTTAGAAAAGTAAATGCACTCTGAATTCTGCATTAAGGAAACTATGTAAAATTCAAACTTTACCCTTTATCAAGTCAGCGTTTCTCTGGATTTTATATAATTTACTAAATAAATATAGAAAGACTGGGTTTTCCTTGCAAAAGGATGACATTGTTTTTTAAGAATGTACTCTCACTCACAGCGAAAGAGTTTATTCTTCACAGTGCCACACAGCATTTACGGATAAATAGTGTGGACATGCTGTGGAGCTATGTGAAGCACAAACTCTTTCGCTGCGAGTTAATATTCAAATGTGATAATTTCCGAACTGCATATTTTCTTTGCGTAATTTTTCAAATAAATAAATATGACTGAACCAAGTTCTGCATTATTTGTTAAAATTATTTTATTCCACTCATTACACCCGCATTATTGCTTTTGTTGCCAAATTATACATAAATAACATACATACTTAAGTACATGTTTACCTTGAAATACCTTTTTTAATATTGGGGAATATGTATTTCTAAAATTTCCATGAGTCATCAAAATGGTTAAAATCGTTACTTAGACACATCTTTATGCATAATTTCTCCATAAAATAAATATACATATGTAACTCAAAAGGCCTGTTAAAATCAAAATTAATTAAATCAACCAATAAAAAACTAGTCAATAACCAATCTCAAAATTCATTCCACAATCTTTTCGATTCCCCGCCCTAAATCCATTCGAATTTCGCCCTCTCCATTACCCGATTTCTGCAACACGCCCAAATTCAACCCCACCTGAACCCACCCCTTTACCACCTTACTCCTCAGCTGATCAAACACATGGTACCGCAGGTTTGGAAAAGTTGCAGAAATCCGGTCCAAAAAATTCGTTGAACTCTGCCAACCATAACATCTACAGCTTTTGAAACTACACACTTTATCCGCTTTTACCCCTCTCAACCTGAACATTTCCATCGGTGGGAGCGGGACATTTAATTCACGCAGCGTTTCGCACCTTACCCCATTTCCCCCCGGGGTGAAAGAATCATACAAAAACGCTACCGTCGATTCAAAATACGTAGCCTGCTCCTCCTCTCTTTTCCCACGATTCGGATATTTAACTGAAAGTACTGCCAAAACTGGGAACTGTTTCGCATAGTTTAGCTTGACCTTATCGGCGGGATCTTCCGTTTCAAATTTTACCCGCACTTCGCACCTATTCTGCGCAGTGGTGCATTCGTTTGCGTGCCGGCAGATTTTGAGCACCTGTAACCTTGGCATGATTGGGATATGGAGAACCGTGCTGTTTCCTTCATCTGCCCCCCTATCCATAATCTCGATGTTTAAATGATGCAGAAAGGGTGCCAAAATTTGGAGCAGGCTTGTCCCAAAAGATGGCGCGTAGTTGTCAATGCAAAACCCAAGGCGGCTGATTTGACGAAGGAAGGACTTTAAAGGTTTTATTATAGTAAGAAAGTTTCCGGCCTCGGGATGTTTGCATGGATTTCTGACGGATAGGGATTTCAGTTTCGGAAATGGTGGGGCCTCTGGACGAAACACAAATTCAAATCCTTCCCGCCGAGGAGATATGTACTGGAGGCAGGTCACATTAGGGAATAGGCCTGAGATTTTAACCACAAGAGCATGATACATGTCAGAGCTGTCTGCAATGTTTTGCGTGTCCAAGCAGAGTTTTGTGATTGAGGGGAATATCAAATCTTCGCCGGGGTTGAAGTCTGCCAGGAAAGCGGATAGGTTCCCAGTGGGGAGCATATTTGCATTCTAGAATTGGTAAAAACAGAAAAAAATCATCACGGGATGGTTACAATGAGGGTATTCATTACGAGTTCGCATGTTCGCATCGCAATATAACTTTTTCGAAATTTTGCGAAGCAACGAAGTGAAGACACTTCGCAAATGAAAAAGTTCGTAAAATTTTATTCAAATGTCTCGAATTTTGCAATGGGAAAAATACGTTAATTTCCATTAGTTACCGAAATTTTGCATCTGAAATTTACCAAACAAAAAAATTCAAAAATTTGAATTGCAAAACTTTGGTAACTAATGGAGATTTATGGACTTTTCCCATTGCGAAATTTGTGAAAAATATTTTGCGAACTAAATACTAGCCTTGGAGATGCGCAAGTTCGCAAATAAATTTTCAAGCCAAATTGTTTTGCGAACTTGCGAACTTTATTTCTTTGCGAACGTTGCTAACGATGCGAACTCGAAATGAATACCCTCAATATGTGATCGCTCGGTGACAGCTAATACATATATACATACGTAATCTTACAAGGGAGCCTTAAGTACTGTCACCTCTCGATTTCCTTCGGAATAGCCTTAATCGACAGATAATTTAGTGAAACTAAAACTTTGTCATAGAACATGCGGTGCAAAATCGCGTTTTCGCGAAATATTTCGCGAGAACTGCACCAAAACCTGCCATTTGCCCAATGCTTTTAACATAGCCACCAGCCTTTCGAATGATGAAATGAACTTTATAGAACCTCAATAAATTATATTTGTACCCGTCCGCGTAATTTCAGCCGGATCACGAATATGCAAAAAATGATGCAAAGATTCGCAAATCTTTTGCAAATTGCGAAAATATGAAAATATCCGCAAATTTGAATCTCTTCGTCTTTTTTAAATTCAACAAATCAGTTTAATCAGTTTAACTGATATAAAATATACTTTTCTTATTGAAAAAAAATTACAAAAATTTGCAAAAAAAATGAAGTTTACAATTTTTAAATTTCGCTTTTTATAGAAACTTAAGAATTGTCATATATGCAGGTATGATCGAATAAAGGAAAAGCTAATTTGTTGAACAATTAAAACATGCTAACATTGCAAAAAATTCTACATATTGAACTAAAAAATTGCACACACTAAGTTTTTGCAACTTGCTAAAATAAATACCACAAATAATTACGAAAACCAAGTAAAAATAGATTATTTAACTTATCTTCATGAAAAATTGCGAAGTTCGATTTTTTGAAAATTTGTGCAAATTTTTTGCAATGATAAAAGTATATTTTATATCAGTTAAACTGATCAATTTTTTGAATTTAAAAAAACAAAGAAATTCAAATTTGCGGATATTTTTATATTTTCGCAATTTGCAAAAAAATTGCGAATCTTTGCATCATTTTTTGCATATTCGTGATCCGGCTGAAATTACGCGGACGGGTACAAATAGAATTTATTGGGATTCTATAAAGTTCATTTCATCATTCGAAAGGCTGGTGGCTATGTTAAAAGCATTGGGCAAATGGCAGGTTTTGGTGCAGTTCTCGCGAAATATTTCGCGAAAACTCGATTTTGCACCGCATGTTCTATGACAAAGTTTTAGTTTCACTAAATTATCTGTCGATTAAGGCTATTCCGAAGGAAATCGTGAGGTGACAGTACTTAAGGTTCCCTTGTTAGTGTACAAATTAAAATGAAATGAAAATTATTTCGTGTAAAAAATTTTTCGTGTAAAACTGACATTTGAAATGAAACGTTATTTTCTACCCTAATTTTTTAAGGAAAAATCTGTAGCATAACATTAAACGGTCCCTTCAGCAAATATTTCTCAGCACTAATAAGTAAATCCGAGAATTAGTAAAACTTACTTAATTGGTGTGTGCCAAATATTACCTGTGGTTCGGTAGAGAAACGAATGTAAGCGGTGAAGAACCTTAGTTGCAGAGATGTCAAACGATTTCCAAACATTTTGATAATTTCAAAAAATTGCTTGGGTTGTGTTCCACCATTCAGAAAAAAGCTGACGATTAAGTGTCTCACTTTGCCGGTACTTATTTCAGCAAGGCTTCGAAATCGGGGCAGAAACTCGTCCGAAACTTGATCGTATTCCCAATCCAATTGCGTAGTTTCCAGAAAATCAGATCGAATGGACATTGCTCGTTCATACCTTTGATACGAATTGGTATAACGGATAGTTCCCCGAAATTTGCAACGCACCCGAATATGATGTCTGGCTTCACGCTCCCATCCCGCGTTGAGTAGAGTGCATATGCGCAGGTCAGAAATGGGCAGAAAGGCGGTAATATTTCTGATAATCTAAACAAATAATTTGAGAGCATGTAATAAATTTGAATATCTGGTTGATTTGTATGTAGGGGAAAATTTGTCAGCATAAATCAGGGTGTTCGAGATTAAAAACTTTTATTACAACCGAGTAAGTTATGTGCGGAAATAAATGCCATTTTTAGTGGAAAATGTTTCCATTCAGTACTAAAATAATACCAAGGCGTGTTGATATATGACACTACCAAAGTGGGATAAAAAAAGTAATATACATACATAGTTTTGCCACACACATAGTCAATTTACGGAGCGGTATACAATTTTAATACCAAGTGGTAGCAACATTAATACCGAGAAATCAATACCTGCCCGGCCATATGTACAAGATTTCTACCAGAAGATGACTTGGTTAATACCAGTCAAAGGATGAATTCATTGAATTCAATTAAATTTAAATTTAATTTAATTAAAAAATTAAATCAATCAAATAACTTTGCTTGAATTCAATTCAAGCAAAGTTATTTGATTGATTTAATTTTTTTAACAAACCTCGGGTAGGGATATCGCCAGGTGAGGAGTTTTAGTGTGTTGAATGTTCCCCAGCTCCATAATTGCTGCTGGCTACATAAATATAAAAATAGTAGAAAAATAATCAATTTTCACCTAAAATATGCATTGCATGTAGGCATTTTTAAATAGTTTTCGGTTATTTCCATACGTTTTTTTTGTGTAGTGTATTTCTTACTGCTGCCAGATTCCCATCGTCGATACAAGCAATTTCTTGCAAACGTTTTGCGATGAACTGGCACTGACGCCGTTAATACATGTGCATCTCCTTGTCTGTTTTTTAGGAAAGTGTGAAAGGGTTGATAAAATTTTAAGGATTCAAACAAAAGAGCCCTTTAACATATTTAAAAAAGGTTAAATAGGTAGATTGCATTTGAGTAAATTTGTAAATAAGAATTCATACTATTTGTCAAACTACACGTGAACAATGCTGTTTGAAGGACAATGCAAAAAGGTTGCGGTAGATTTACGAAGGCAGGGGTCACTCAACCCTTCATATTCTGATTCTATTAATATGTAATGTCACCCTTTAGAGAAGTAAATGCACTCTGAATTCTGAATTAAGTCAACTAACCTAAACCCATAGTAAACTTTACCCTTCCTCAAGCAAACGTGACTATGGGTTTATTTAGTATAGTTAACCTAATATGGAAATTTGAGTGCTTTTATTTTTCAAGTGGTGACAATATTAAAAAAAGTGCACGATTATAACGGACGATGTTTAAGGCATTATGAACGTGATGACACTTTGATATACATAACTTGAGTACTCATTCCTTGAAGCTATATATTTTTTAAATCCATGCTAGGCAGACACATACATATTCGTATGAAAGATGCATATGTATGTATGTACATACATATAAACAATAAAAACTTATCAAAATTATGCTATATTTATGCAATGTGTGATATGTAAGTTATAGTTTAAGAGAAAGTTTAGTACAGTTTACTTAAGGATGCATTTAATTTTGAAATTGTTAAAATTATTTTCAAAAGTGCGTGTAAATTTAAGAACGGTAATGTTTAGCAACTACTTCTCAGAATTCTCCAATGACTTCCTATTATTTCATTTTTAACAAAGTTGTTGCAACCCAGTACTGAAAAATCCGCCAGGCCTATGATCTCACGCGACTAGTTCAATGAGATATGTAGATATTTAAGTATTTATACGGGATAAAGTACCTATTAAATACCATCATAGATGTTCATAAGTCAGAGTGAAACCAAGAAAACGTTTATTTGTGTATGGTGAATTGAATAATCATGAAGGAATTGATTCGGATTTGGTTCGCTGGAATCAGACGGACATGATACGATGGTGGGAAACCAGGGAATGTTAAGTAAGACAAACTATGTAAATAACCAAAATGGGTTAATTTAATTAATGGTTAATAAAGTATTGAAGCAGCGTTTAAATAAATGCATTCATACATGTATGCGTCGGACGGCTTAATTACCTCCTTATCTCAAGTTCTTTATTTAATATCGACTTTGGCATTCAGTAAAATTAGAGAATAATGTGCCTATATAGATTTGCACATTTTACATATTTATACAAACACACTAAATAAAAGTTGTGAGAAATTTACTCAAGCTTGACCAAAGAAAAGGATGAAACATAATTTTGATACATTTTTTACGCAACGGTTGGATAAATTTGACTCAATTGTTGTATTACCCTCTTTTTTTTACTTATTTTTGGGCACATTTTCTACAACGTTAATTTAGCGTGCACGGTTTCTCCCAGGCTCCATTTCCATTTGCTGCATGATCGTATCACAAACTCATTATTATTTCTTTAATATTGCACAAAACCTTAAATCGAATTCGGTATCTCGATAATTTAATCAAAATTGTACGGGGGGCATTATTAATTTCCGCCACAGATACAGACACATGAATAGAAAGTTTATACTAATACTGCCTACTGACAATCTACATATGCATATATCTGATTTACTCGTTTAATTTAGAGCCAATTTAAATAAAGTCCAATCGTAAAATTCGAGTTTCTGATACACATACGTACATACATAACGTGTGTAAATATTTACATACTATTCGCACTTATCAGAGTAGAAATTTAATGGAGTAGAAAAATATGTTGGAAAATGCAAAATCGTAATCAATAAATAAACATATTCATGTCAAGAGATGATGCTGATTTCAAAAATGGCCTAGCATTTCGAATAACCAGATAATTAGAGCGGGTCCGATGGGAACCCGATCACTAGGAATTATGCCCAGAAAATGGTCAAAAATGATTTTTAAGATCTCAAATTTTTGTAGAATATTATAAATATATCTAGCGTCCAATTTCCGGAACGATTAAGACCTAAGTCCATCGTCAATCTCGTATTGAAGGTTCTTCTTTACGCCCGCCATTACTGCATTTTCGGAAGACTTTGCAACTTCAATGCTAATTATCTCCTACTTGAATCAAAATTTTCTTAAAGTATCGACTGTTTCACAAAGCTGGGAGTATGTCTTCGTACATATGGCCCACATTATTTTATTATTTTATTGCGCGAAGATAAGGGTTGAATGTGATGTTATCATTTTTCAACATCAAACTGATTTTTTTTCGATTTCTTCCATGATAGTTTTTGCATAGTGGAATGGTCCACGGTCGGTCCAAAAAATTACATTTTGTATTTTATGATACCTCATTATGAAAGGAATCAGACGGTCTATTATACATTGCTAGAAACAAACATGTGTTTCCACACAGTCCATGTGAACTTAAGGGTCACAAACATGCCCAATTTGGCCTAATGCCCGAAAAATCGAGAATTTCTTGAGAAATTTTTAAAAACATTTTAATTTCTCGTCTGTTTTCACTTCAGATATGTATTTGCCATGAAAAATTACCTTCCTGGAATTTCTGTCACGTTATTAACGACGTAGGCATCGTGGCCAATGTCCAACTTTTTGGCGAAATTTTGCTGTAGAGCTTGGGAAGTCTTGCGTTTACCATTTTTTCTTGACCTTCCGTATATTTTGGTGCAGATTTTTTTGCATACGTTTTGACCCACAATTTATGGGCCTTAATATGATACACGTAGTTTGTATTAAGCATTGACTTCTTGGCAGCATCGGGCACGGACGTGGAGCGACACTTTCCAAAAATAAATTTAATCGTTTTTAACTTTCAAGAGGTCATTGTGATGGTTTTTACTAACGGTGTGTATTTGAGGTCGACATTTTCGGATTCCCCATACTTTTTTCTGTAAGTCTTAATTTTTGCACGACCACGCCCTTCTCCGTTGAAATGCAGTTAAGTCTTCTCGAGTCATTGTCACTCGATTCGAGAGTTCGTCGCTTTAAAGTGGTGTAGGAAATTTATGTTTCATTGAAAACTTCTGAAATTTTGGGGGTGCGTGGTTAGATATATTTAGCATATTCTGAACGAATTTCGGATTTCTAAACCTGTTTTTGACGACTCTGCCATTAAACTCCCTAGTGACCGGGTTCCTATAGGACCCACTCTATGTTTATTTATTTATAGCGTGAATTTGCCGAATTATATGTTTTGGTTTCATAGCAAGCAAGTTCCTTAAAGTTCTTTGCCATTTTTCCACAAAAAACTGCACAAACGGAATATGTATATCTAGCTACAAATGTATGCATAAATACATACACACAGACACACATATGCATAATCTATAGTTCACTAAATTTGGCGAGTTTTAGTTATTTCAAGGTTGGAGTACTAGTATGTCCATTTAACTGGTTTGCAAAATTCTTCACATCCGTTAATAACAGCTTTACATATTATGTAAAGCTGTTATTTGCCAGATTTTGAATTTTGATAATTTTGAATTTTCTTTTATTACTAACCTACCAAGGCCAATAAAGTCAAATTTAAATTGACAGGACAATTTTGAACAAGTAATTACTCTTAATAATTTCAAAAGTGCACTTACGTGGTTTTAAAATTAAACATCGAGTGCACTTACGTCTTTTTAAAATAAAACATCGACTGCACTTGCGTCTATTTAGAATTAGTGCGACGATATGTATGCACGTGTAAGGACTTACAAGGCTGTAGACCCACAAACACTCAATTACCACATGTGTAGGCAGGAAACCACCAGTCTTTAAATAACCCTTCCTCTTTTGTCTCGCTTCGACATTCTATAAAATCCTTACATACATATTTAGCAAAATTATGAAACTTCATTTCATCCATTTTCATTATTCTGCCGGAATTAAGAACTTCTTCAGTCTGCATAAATCCTTCCCATCTACCAACGGGCATGATCTAGTTTCTCCCACATTGTGGGAAATTTTAGGCCAGTTCGTCTCCGTATTTCGTCGCGTGTCCGTGCTCCCTTTTTGTTTTTGTCCGGCTGTAAGAAAAGCACATTTTGTCCAGAAATCTTTCCTAAAACGTGGAATTCTGAAGTTTTGCTGTGTTTTATTTATGGCGTATGCCTTCGTCACTTTTCTCCTGCTCACGCACCAACTCTTATTTTCATCAAGTAGTATGGACGCTCGACGGATGTTCAGCATGTTTTACATCATCTGTCTCTTTCCCATCTTTATCCCGATCAGTTTCGTGATCGCTTTTCGAGCAGAACCAATCTGTCCGACGATCAATCCCATTAATTTATTTCAGCAAAGGATAGCAGGTAATATTGATGGCTTGAGTTTTGAATGTTTTCAGTTCGATTTCGTTTTCCAAGTATCTCTTAAACGCTACTTTGTATAGTTAGAAATCTGGTATTGTCTCGTAGGTATTTATTTCTCGGTGTTAATTTTGCTACCACCAGGTATTAAAATTGTGCCGGTCCGTAAAAATTTTCTTCCTACATACATATATGGCGAAATTTTAATATGGAGCTATTACTACAAGTTACATATGTAAATACATAGGTATGTATTACTTCTGAGTACCGCTTTAGAAGCTTTTCATATACATACCGATTAGGATCATGACTATTTTTAACCTGGGTTTCGTAGGCACCAATTTCAAACTATCTTAAATAATGAAATATCTCCATTTATTCCACAGACCTGGGCAAAATCCGACATCAACCCCCAACCAATAAATACTTGGAGGTCGGACTTCTATCTTTCATAAAGATATCGCCAATCATCCCACCCTTTCTAATTCCCATAGTCGTCTGGCTGGACATCGACACCCTCCGCGTCCTCAGCAAAGTCAACCCTTTCACCAGATCACATTTCAGTCACACCTTAATAATCGCGTTACGAGTCGGTATTTTAACCCTTGTCGCTGGAGAAGTTGTAAAATCTCTGTGTGCCCTGTGCACC